TAACAATTTTGGACAGTTTTGTTTGGAAGCGTATGTAACAGAAACGGACTCAGGCTATTTTGGCCCCAAAAATTTTGTGTATTTAGGGTTTTCTACATAAAAAAGGTACTCTTATTGAATATCGATAAATTGTCCCATTTTTGAATAAAATCAAACTAAAAAATTTGTCACACGATAGGAAATGTACTGCGAATTTGAATGATTGTTGAATAATTAGCCATGGCAACGAAAAAACTAATTTGATAATTGGTAAATATTACATAAATACATATTTCTATTGCAACATAGCTAACATTAAGGCAAAAACCAAAGAAATAAACTTTTTCTACTAATGTAATTGAAATTTGTTTAAAACAGAAGACATACAGTTGGATATACTTAAAACTAGCTTTACAATAAGTGTTCAAATAAATTCTCATTTTGTTGGATACAGAGTCGCGCTCGACGAACTAATGATTGCGCAGTCTGAAAAGTGGAAAACCTTTTTCTTCTTATTTCATTTGCAGCCTGATGGATTCTTTGAAGTAAATCTTCTTGAGTATTTACTTGAGTCGAGTAAACTAGGTCTTTTAATGACCCCCAAAAATGGAAATCCAATGGATTTAGGTCAGGTGAACGTGGCGGCCACGCTATAGGACCTCCTCGGCCTGACCACCTGTCTGGAAAATTGACATTCAACCAATTTCGAACATTGCGTCATAACAAATCAAAACAACTTTTGTTTGCAGTCATGGCTAACTATGTATAATCAAAAATTCATTTAAATTCGCAGTACATTTCCTATCATGTGACAAATTTTTTGGTTTGATTTTATTCAAAAATGGCACAATTTATCGATATTCAATAAGAATACCTTTTTCATGTAGAAACCCTAAATTTTACAATTCTAAAATTGAATTTCAAAAATAGAATCACACAAAAATGTTGGGGCTAAAATAACCTGAGTCCGTCCCTGTTACATACGCTTCCAAACAAAACTGTCTAAAATTGTTAATATTTTTAAATCCAGCATAAAAAACTATTCTAGAATACCAAATTTTCTGTCTTTATCTCGACACGTTTCGGAAATATTAAATCTTCAAGGGAACCCCTTTAAAAGACAGTAGCGCCCTTACGGGACGTTTGTTGACCTATGTTTATATAAACTTTTCTTCCTATTTTAAGGTCTAGAAACCGCTGGTAGAATATTGCACACTTTTTTCGGGACACCTTGTATATTAATTTTCACTGTTCTCAAGCAATGTAGGAAGCTACACATTTTTTCTATCCTCAATGGTTGTTGGCGACCGCAACGGGCCGTCTTATTTTATTAACAGCTGTTTTAAATAGTCGGTTGTTGTTTTGTCTCTGGTTCTTAAGCCAGAATATGCGGCAGAGTTCTGGTGCCCTATTCCCTTCTACCTCTCTTTGTAGTATGAGTGGTAAAATTCCATATTTAGTGCTGTTTCTCAGTATGTGATGTCAATTTCCTCTCTTTAATGATGTCTAAGACTTCTAGCTCCATTTGTAAACGTTGCATTATGGTGGAGTTGGTTATATGATAAGCCCATTATGCGTTTTGTTGAATACAATACACTGTAATAACACTTACCATCCTCTTTCAAGGATAAGTGTTGGGCAAGGTTATTATAAGTATCAACAAGTTATGTGTTTTAATGGGTGCTTGAATAAATTTGATTTAAGAGCTTATGCCTAATACTTTAGAATATTTAATTAATAATGCATTTCATTTGATATGTAATTGTGTAGCTTTAAATCCAACTTTGGTCGATTATTTGTATTTGTGTATTTGGCTGGCAATGTGGGATTAATCTTGGTGTCATTCATATCTTCATTTGTTATATTTTTTATTCTGTAGGATAGTTGGCATGTCTAATTATGCATAACTCCATTCGTAATTATAACACTTATAGGTGAATAAAACGATCTATCTATCTGGCAGTCACGCTGCCTCTTATCAAGGCTTGTTATGCAGCTGCTCGGTATGAAAATATGTTAACGCCCAATGATAGCACTCATTTTAAAAGCCTGTAGCTGTGAACAAGAGGCTTCGTCGACTGTTCATGCCTCTACATCATACATAAGGACGAAAAAGACGTGTAATTTTTAGATTGGGAGTTTCAGATTGATATTTAAGGTTAGATTGGAAAGAACTTTTTTCGTTTTCTGTCACTTCTCGCTTTTTCAATAGGTAACAAGCACCAAATTGGTTCAAATGTCAAAATTGATAACAAAAATAATGTTTGAGGCTACATCTCTACGAGCCCCTTCCCACTTCAGTTGGCCCAACTATTGAAATCGTAGTTTTTCTCTTATCAACCACAAATAATAAAAATATAACAGGGTGTTATAGGTTTAAAATATTAACAATGAATATTTTGATAGTATATAGTAGAAAACACCAATTTTATCACTCCCTAATCAAATTTGCAGCATAAAAATAACACATTTTGCAATTACAGCATATCAACGTATTTTCATTTCAATGACAAATAAGTCTATAACGCATAGGTGGCTGTGAAAAATAAAAGCCACGACAATTGTTTTTATTAATCATAACTGTCAGAATTCGTTTAAAATAGTTTTGGGTAGTTAAGGTTTCCAAAATGGGTAGAGGAACGGTTATTAGTGAGAAAATTCGGTTACTGATAATTAAATTTTCTAATCCTGGGAAATCAAACTCAGAAATTGCAACTTTGTTAGACTTATCGCGGTACAGTGTGAGAAATAATGTTAGAAGATATAACGTAACTGGTCAGTTAATATTAAGCCACGATATGTGAAAAAAAGTAATATCACAAATGCCGACCGAAGAGCATTAAGAAGAATAATCGTGAAAAACAGGCGTGTCAATTATTTACAATTAAGTGCTCGGTGGAGTGACGCTGTTGGAAGGAGAATTTCGAGGTCCACAACTCGTAGAGAGGTCCACAAACTTAGATTTAGCACTTGCAAGGTAAGTTTTCTTATAAAAAAAGTGAAGTAATACCCTAAAGTTGCACAACTTGTTTATATTCCAAACAAAAGCCACTATTAACTCCACTGCAAAAGAAAAATCGGCTTAGATGGGCTAAAGAACACAGACAGTGGACACCTCAACAATGGTGTGCAATACAATGATGAGGCCCGATTCGAAGTTTGTGTTGGTGACAGTCGCAGTAGAGTTATTCGCAAAAAAAATGAAGCATTCCATGTTGACTGTCTGAAGAGAAAAGTGAAATTTCCAGCATCCATTATGGTCTGGGGCAGTATGTCATCAAAAGGAGTAGGAAAACTTCATTTTATTGATGGAAATGTGGATACAAACAAATATTTGGCAATTTTAGAAGAATCGATTTTACCAGTGATGGAAGAATGTTTGACATCCGGCCAAGATTTTGTGTTTTAGCAAGATGGTGCAGCGTGCTATACCTCAAAAAATGCTATAAAATGGATGGAAGAAAATAATGTACGGCTTTTGAAATGGGTTTCTAGCAGTTCAGATCTGTCGCCTATTGAAACTTTGTGGCACGAGATGAAGAAGGTTCTACGGCAACATCCTGCTCGTACAATCACCGAACTGAGACAAAATCTTCAAGAGATATGGGATTTTTTTACACCAAATTTTTGCCAAAACTTGGTTAACACTATGCCCCAAAGAATTTCAGCCGTAATAAAAAATAAAGGTGATGTTACCCAATGGTAATATTTCAATTGTTGCTTTGTTAACTTCGCGCATTTATTCGCACATTGTTTATTTGTTCAGATTTTCTATTAGTTAAAGGTCTAAGTGATTTTAAATATGTATTTGTTACGACTAGAGTGTATCTAAAATGTTTTTGAGAAAATAAATTGTTTTTGAAGTAAATAGTTTCGTCATGTTTAGTTTATAAAGACATATTTTGGTACAAATCTTGATGTGGGCCAACTGAAGTGGGAAGGGGCTCGTAATCAGTTATGCGCGGGTCCTAATCCGGTCCCAATAGATTTTTTCTCGTGGCTAAGGATGTTGTAATTGTCCTTAGGTGGTAGACGGTCTCGGCCTATCAAACATGCCACCGTGAAGGTACCACCCCCTAGTCCTACGGTACCACCCGTAAATTGGCATTAGGCTTTCGTGGTGGTTCACAAATAAAATAAAGTCGCCCTCTGATCAAAAAAGATCATCTAGTTCGCTTTCTGACAACAACCCTAGCACTTCCTACTCTTATCGTCCTACACAATTATAGGAGTAAAGTTTGAATATTGACGACCGCAGGGCTCAGTATTGGAGCGCTCAGTGGTCATGCTTATGATGAAATTTTACACCTTTTTACCTAGTTTAACTTTGGGCTCTCACATGAATACTGGGATAAAGAGCGACCTTGTCGCGGCTAATAAATGAAATGACATCTAATGTTAAGAACGGACTAACCTATAGGTGTCAAGGTAACTGAAATAATCTTTATGGTGGAAGTATTCGCATAATTACTCATAGTGTTTCTAAAACATTGGGCATGCATTCAAGTGGTGATGATTCCTTGGCTTTTTTCCCTTGACGATTTTCAAAATACCGCTTCGTTCCAGAGTTGCATGCCTCTGAAGAACGCTACTGGACGTTGGTTGTCAATTAAATCATCTTCGAATGGCACTATAAAGTCCAATAAAATTTTTAAGCATAGTAACCTGATGCCTCACATGATGCTGGCCATGAAGGACAATTAAGCCATGCAGGTCCCTTATGACGGACAAGCCCTGTCGTGATGTTGGTAATTTTCCTACACATTGTATAATGATGGTTTGAAAATAATAATTTTGAACAGCTTAATCCTTCACTAAAAAAAAAGGTTCATGTTCTACTTTATTGAGATATGCCGTGTGTATCGATTATGGTACTGGCTCCGATATAACCAAATTTTCATACCAAGTCCAAAATCAGCGACCCGAAAGAACCCTAGACAAAAATTTTCAGTTCACGTAACGAAGTTGACCCAACCTTCTAAGGATTGGTTGTATCGTAGGTCGATATTAACAGCATCGAAACAATGGTTAAATTTGAATGTTTTTATGTAAAGCAACATATCGTCGGCTTAATCGGCAAAATGCGTATCTCCGTTTCTATAAATTTTACAGGAGACACAAAAAACGTCATCAGATTGAACTGTAGTATTTTTCACAAGAATGACTGTGTTAAACGATCAGAAAGTGTCTTGTAGCAGCTAAAAACTATATGCTTGGACAATATTTTAGCATAGATCATTTACTATGATAAAAAAAAGGAGATAGGCAGTTTTCTTTTTTATATTCAGCCAAAAACCTGGAGATACGGGTTCCTCATATGGGATATTTGAACAGTAACAAATGAAGCTACTCAGGAAAAATACAATTTTTATTCATAAAAATATAAACATAATTCAGATTGTGCTTAATAGAGCGGCTTAAGGAAGAAAACACATGTATTCATAAAAGTAAAACAAAATCGGATTGTGCTTATCTACGATTTATTCAATCATGGGGTAAATTATCATAGAAGGCATGATAATCGACTTCCATGGTTGCCTTTAGACTTTGAAGGTGTTTATACTTTTCTGCCTTAATTTTTATCCTATTTCTATAGAGTTTGGGTAAGTCGTTTGCATCATTGGTGGCGTTGTTAGTCTTTGTGTTTAGCCTGACTGGAAGAATTTGCCATTTTTGATCAGAGTGATTGAGTTTGAAAAACACTCCCTCATGAGAGTATCTCAATGCTCTAATATCGTTTACCAATGGTGCACCAGCAGATCTTCCGGGTCTGATAGAATTAAAATATTTCAGCTCATCGTATTTTTTGAAGAAATCGTGCATTAGGTACTCAACTCTATAAGGAGCCTTTTGACATGCCGTTTTGCAGATGTAGACGTAGTCTGCTGGAATATTGATTTTCTTATTTCGGGTTTTCCTTTCAATTACAGAATGGACACTGTCCACTTCCATTTGGGTATGTCCTTTCTGCAAATACTTTTGCACAATAGTAACTCCCCTCTCCAATGTGATTGTATGTGATTGTATAGGCCATTTGCCAATGTGGCGTTCCTATTTTGATAACCACAACCATCGCTCCATAATATAATTTGAATATCACTACGATTTTGTAATCCAAACTGATCGATATGTCTTTCTAAAAAATGTATTATTATGCTTGTGAACTCATTACTAGTTAGTCCTCCTTCCGCTTCATTCCATAAATAACAGTAGCCCTGATTGCGCTTGATGTCATAGAGGGTGAAGTTGTGGACAATCAGCTTAGTTTTATAATACAGTGCACACGTGTTTGATTTTGGGGATAGCAAAACGGATTGAAGGTCCATTGTAAAAACTTCGTTTGGAGACTCTTTATCTACGGTCTTTGCAGTTCTTGCTGCATTTTTGAATGCAATGTGTTCATTGTACTTATATTCTGTTAAATTGCCCGTCTCAAAAGCAACACAAGTGTCACATAGATCTTTTTTTGGTTTATAGAGTGATAGTCGTTTTTTGTCGAATTCTTTATGGAATGTTGCAATCGATACAGGTTCAACGTTATGTGTAGTACAGTAGTCGTTTTTGTAAATTTTATATAAGTGAGCCTTAGAATTCCAAGTTGGCTCTAAATAGAGCTTGGATGTGGAAGCCCTGCAATAGTGCGATTCCAGCTTCGGTAGACAGTCGAAAAAGTCATGCAGCGAACGAGTAGGTGCAGTAGTACTGTCACGTATTTTATTCGGCTGTACATTATCTTCATCCTTTCTATAACCATTTTCCAAGTTACTTTTGGCCCATTTTTTTATAACCCACTCTTTTACTCCTAACGTATTAAGAAACATCGTTCTACAAACCCTTAGTCTGTCCTTGCCCAAAAAGAATCTGTTTGAATAAGATCTTCTTGAAACGTCCCTAATTCCCCGTTTTCTTATAGTATAATTTATGGAAACGTGATTTTTTACGAAAACCCTCTTTTCTGCCCAAGTGTATTGCCAAAATTCCTTAAAAATGTTTTTTCTCTCATTTTCAGTCAATTCTCTACATTTTAAAACAGATTTTTGATTGTTACTTAGTTTACAACGACATACATCCTCAAGTGATCTCGGTTCCTTTAAAATGTCATATTTCCACATCCCATTTTCCTTTTTTTTCCCTACGTATGATTCTCCCTTTTCTCTTTTAATTCGATTCTTGTTTTCATGCCATTTATTTTTGTTTACTTCATACTTTGTTGAACGCTTCCGACGGGGTCCTTCGTCTTCTAATATCTTATCCGATAGTTTAGTACAAGGCGTATGATCAGACTCATCTAAGTCGGAGCTCTCACAATCTTCTACAGTTAGATTTTCAATAATAGTGGATTGTACTCCTGAACAGGAAGGTATTTCATCGAAAATGGAATCACGTTGGCCAATTTCAACAATACTCAACTGAATTGGAGCCACAGCTTCATCTTAAAAAAGTTAGATGGTCAGAAATAAATATAAAGAATCTCATTTAAGGCTCTTACCACTTGCGTCTTCCATCATCATTCTGACTTCTCCATCAACTACAAAATCGCTAATTTGTGCGTCTACAAATTCACTATTGCACTCGCTAGCACTTTGCGCTTCTACTGAATCCACATTTCCAACAGCACTGTAGTCTTCGCCTGAAAAAAGACCGAACGTAAGACTAAAAAGTGGTCAGATTATCTGTTAATCAATCAATTAACAATCTTCAAAGATTTCGCAGGTTATTTGGAATTAATACAATGGACACGTTCCATTTATAATAAAGCACGAACTGCAAAGACTGTAGATAAAAAGTCACCAAACGCCGCATAAAACGCAACAATGTTTACTGTTATATTTGGAATGAATCACCTGGTACTCAATTCTTACATTATTAGCTATGAATTTACTATTGTGCAAAAGTACTTACGAAAAGGTCATACAATATTGGGAAGGTCTTATTAGTGCTTACCAGCAGCGTCTGAAAATATTATTTCAGCATCCTGAATAGCCTTCGATAGGTCGTAGTTATTATTTTCTTCATTTACTGGTTCATAGCTGGTAGTAGACTTCAACGCATCGAAGATTCTGTCAATTCGTCTCGCCATAATCTAGAAAAAAAAATGTCCCTTCTTAATGATTGAAAATAAAAATACGTATCTCCTATACAACCAAATATCTACTTTAAAAATATATTATGGGAAATATGCGTAACTCCCTGAAATACAAAGTTTAACTCATATCACCATGTATAATTATAATTATCATTAAAAAATACTGATTCTAATAATCTGGAAGTTGTACTTACCTTTCAAAAGCCCTTTATGGAAATATAGATTCCACTATCACTTGCACCAAGCTGTAAATTCGCAGATGCACGTGTTCACCGTAAGCGTTATTACACGTTCTGGGATTTACGCATTTTGCCGACTGAAATTGGCGGGAACGGATATAGGCCGTTTTCTACTTTGCGTATTACAAAGAAACGAATAAAGCTTTGGATATAGGCTGTTTTCCTAAAGATGTACTATTTACTACTAGATGGCACCAAAATGTCATTTTCTCAAAAATGTGGAGTTACGCATTTTGCCGATTAAGTCGACGATATGATGATTCAACTGATTCTTAGTTGGGACACACAATGTTGCTCAAAACTTATTCAATTGGAATCCATCAGTAGAAACATCTTTAGGGACTTGTGTCTCCGCTACGAAGCGATATTTCCAAAATCGCAAAAGACAAAGAAATCCTCAGTATTCGGGGAAATAGCTTTTGTATGTTTGTCCAATGCTTCGAAAAAATCATGCACAACACAAATACAGCACTATAAATACATGCCAGGTAGATGCATGCAGCTTAATTGGACGTCTGAAGACCACCACATGAGCCCAAAAAGAAAAATTGATTAAATGGGGGGGCTGAAAGGGAGAACAGGTGTAAGCCGATCGACACGTAAATGGCGTTCTCGGGAACGGCCGAATTTAGCTTACTCTAACTTTTTCCGTAGCTGGGCTGTAGTTAATAGTTCTTTATTTTGTCGGGTTTATAGGAGTTTCGGTTTACGGAGAATTGATCCGTTATAAAGTTTCAAACGGTTCGTAGCTCAACCGGCTGGGCTTAGCGGACATGCTCCATAGCAACCAGTGGCGTCTACCGTATATACCTCGATTTACAACTCAAAAGAGGGATCAGTCTTCCTCTAGAAACCGAAGTTATAATTCATTACATATCGACGCATTTTTGCCAAAGTAACGTAAGTGACATTTTTGGTGAAAATCATGTTTTTCCATTAACGTAAGGCTTTTAGTGTTATGTTATGTCCAGAATTTTTTAAATCATATCCGTAAAAGGAACATAACTTTAACACTATTTCCATCATAGTAATGCAAGCTAACGTTTTTTACCGCCATAATAACATAAGTCCCTGTCGGGTTCTGCGACTTACGTCAGATTTTCGCAGTCAGTGTTTGGCTTACGACAGTGTTAGGTTCGTGCTACCATCGACTAATTATTGATTTTAGGTAAGTAAATAATAACGACATTTTTTTATAGTTAGAATTCAAAAATATTACAATCTTAACTGATATTATGTAGGTACATACCTATAAAATTCCATTTCATATTTAATTTCGTTCATTTATTACAAATGAACATTTTTTTGTAGTTAGAATTTAAAAATATTAAAACCTTAACTAATATTATGTACCTACCTATAAAACTCCCATTTCATATTTAATTTCGTTTATTTATTATAAGTTATTCTGTCACAACCTCGAAGCCTGCGAGAAATTAACAGGAATGAATCGGTTGAAGTTAGAGAAAGACTGTTGTATTTGTTTCTATTCTAATTTTTATAGAAACTATGAAACATTGTAAACATAAATGCTCGGTTACTTTCAGATTATGTCTATGGTCAGTTCACGAACAAAAAGGATTTTGGCGGCTCTTAGCCAAAATGATGAATCGAATAATGTTTATTCTGAGGAAGAAATCGGGTCTATGCCGATAGCCATTATTTCAAGTGACAACATTTTTAATCTAGATAATTCCGAAAATATTTTAAAAACTACTTTAGTAAATGAAGACGCAATCGAAATATACTAAGTGACATATAAATCCGAACACCCAGTTTAAATGGTTTTATTTTAATAAAATTTTGTATAAGTACTTAATGAAGCATAATAAGTAAATGATAAAAATTTCAAAATGATTGCACTGCTTTAAAGCCCTTTGACCTTTAATAATGTGTGGATGCACCCTGATGTGCTACGCATTCTCCAACGCGCCTAGGCATGCTTCTGATCAGGTGGTCAATGTCCTCCTGTGGTATCTCATTCCAGGCAACCACCAACTCCTCTCGAAGTGCTTCTAGAGTCTGAGGAGGACGTTGCAAATTGAGCAATCTCCTACCCATCATATCCCACACGTGCTCAATTGGGGATAAGCCGGGAGATCTTGGTGGCCACGGTAACAATGTGACATCATTATGTTGAAAGAAGTCTATTATGACTCTTGCAACATGTTGTCGGGCATTATCTTGTTGGAAAGTTGGATCTGCCAGGGTGTTAAGATAGGGTAAAAGATGGGGTTCTAGAACTTCGTGGATATAACGCTGCGCGTTCACGTTACCTCTGATGAAGATTAAAGGTGACCTGGAACCATAAGCTATAGCACCCCAAACCATAACTCCAACAGTGTGATGAACATGTCTTTCAACAAAAAACTGTGGATTCCTCCTTTCACCACGTCGCCTTCTAACCCTGGCACGACCATCGTGCATGCCTAAACAAAATCGAGACTCGTCACTAAAGACAATACTGTTCCATTCCTGATCCCAGAGTGACCGTTGTCTGCACCACTCAAGGCGATTACGTCGGTGTTCTCGAGTTAAAGGGAGGACCCAGTGTGGCCGGTATGAAAACAAGCTAAAACTTCTCATTCGTCGGTAAACACTTCGCATGCCAATAGGTCTTCCGTGTTCTGCAAACCATTCATTTGCAATGGACCTGGTAGTGGAGAAACGGTCCCTTAAGGCCAATAACCTTAGGCGGCGATCTTCACGGACTGTTGTTCTACGGCGGCGTCCAGTGCCCCTTGCTCTTTGCGTACGGCCTTCTCGAAGCCATGCCTGACAACACCTAACCACAGTGTCTACACTTCTTTGCACTCTAGGTGCAATTGCCCGAAAAGAAAGTCCAGCTTCCCGAAGTCCCACTATACGGCCCCTATCAAACTCACTAAGTTCACGAAATCGTACAGGTCTCCGTACTTTAGGCATCGTAACCGATCGTAAAGGATGTCAAGAACCAAAATCCGCCAACGTTGATTCTTTACTGCGGCTGAAATATTCATTTTTAGAGCGTTAGTGAATTAAAAAAAAGCAGTATAAAAACCGGAATGTCCAACTGATAAGGCTGAAAATTTTTTCACTTGTTATTTACAGTAAGATAAATACATTCACCAACTTTTATTGAAATAAAACCATTTAAACTGGGTGTTCGGATTTATATGTCACTTAGTATAGATCAATCAATTTTATTGTCTTCTAACAATTCGAGTTCTTATGAAAATGATGGTAACCATACTATGCAAGAAGAAATAAATGTGCCAATAAGTACTGATAGCTCAAATGGGACAGTGGGTGTTCAATTTGAACAGCAATGCGATGTACAAGAATATTTTCAGCCGTTAGTTAACTACATGTTTCACGATGGATTCTTTTTTAAAATGTAAGTCTTCTCTTCCAGATGAGTTAGCAGAAACTGATGCAGAGGATGACAATGAAGATGAAAGCTCCAAAACTTAAAAATAGATATATTTTTAACTAGTAAGAATTTCATATATTCTTTTGTAACGATATTTTGTGTTTTCTTTAATAATAAACGATAGTTTTTAATTCTTTCCAAAATACTTTAAGTGATACAATTTGCCGCCAAACTGACGTATCTGTGTACTTACGTTACATTTTTGATCAAGACTTCGAGATTTCTGAGCCCGTAAAGTAACGTAAGTATCAATTAACCCCTAAAACTATAGAAAAACTTCAAAAATCATTTTTCTTAATTAAATATAGACCTCAGAGAAACACTCTGGTAAATTTTGCACAATTTAAAAAAGTTTAACCAGGTTAAATTAAAAACACGTTTTTTCTCCGAAATCGTTTTTGGTGACTTACGTTACTTTGGCAAATACGTATCGATATTACGTAAAAATCGCCTATAAAATTCGCATTAGGCACTGTTGTGTTAAGATAGTTCACAGACGTGAGCGCCTTCCTAGGGAAGCGATAAACTAGGAGGGTGCGAGTATTCTGAAAAAAGAAAATAAAAAAGTTTTCAAACTGTAGTTTTTTCATATTTATTTGCCCATTTTTTGTATTTTGGCGAATAAATATTTTTATTATTATTATTTTATTGAAAGAAAATGATATAAACTGATATAAAAAAAGATAATATGTACTTTACATTACTTACCCTCTTATAGTTTAAAGTTATTAAGGCCGTAGTTGAGCTTAAATACGATTATATAAAATTAATGGGGAGGGGGGCTGAGAATTGTGATTGAAAATTGGGCCGCAACAAAAAGTTGGGCATTTCGCCTAGAATGGTTTATGAGTTGCAGACTCATAAGATATTATATGGAACATACTGTTGAAATGGGATATGGCGATTAGGACGTAAAGGCCATGTTTGTCCAGTGGCAGCGAAGCTAGGGGCCAAAAAACAAATAAATAAAAACGGCTCAAACTTCGCTTTTTTGACGTTTTAGAGGTTACTGACCATTTTTAGAAAAAAAATTCGAGGATACAAGTTATAGGGAATGGGAGAACGTATATCCTGTTTTTTTTTTGGAAACAGTATATTTATACGCTTCCAACCAGTAATTTTATGCGCCTTTCAGTACATATTTCACACATCAAAGATTTAACCGTACATTTGCCCTTATAACTAATATTTATAAACGAGGCTGGTCGGGACGAGATGGATGAGGAATATGTAGTACGTACTAATTATTGTATTTGAGCCCGTATAGCTGACTTGACTTATTTAATTTTTTATGCATGTCTGTAGCTAGCTCAAATGGACTAGCTTAGGCCGAACTTAATCATTTATGAACTGAAGACAGCATTGCGCGGAAAGCGCAAAATGAATCTACTTGACGTCATTTCTTTATTAACAGCTAATAAAAGCTTTTCAAAACACTATTTTTATTTTATTCATTGGTTCTTCCACCGGCACCGATTGCTTGCAAAAGTAAATCCGCTAATAGTGGCATCTTCTAGATTGTATTTTATAATAGCAAGTACTTATATTTTCTAAGCTTTACTTTATGTTACGCCTCTGTTGATAATCATCAGTGGCGGGTGCTACTGGACGATCGTAAATCATTTGTGTTTAAACTGGGGTTTCGGAGATTTTATTGAGCACCATATAGTTTAGGGCTAAATTATTGCATTGTTGTTATTTTGATTACCTTTTTTATCACTAAGATGGATGTTTCCGCAGCTGAACTGA